GTACGTGTGCAGTCACAGGCTCTGTGTGAGTGATTCCTGCTTGGGAGGGTCTCGCAGTGACAGTTGGCACGATGCAGCTCGAGCTCTGCGTTTGGATTCTTGTCTGGTGGCTCTGTCCCAGGAGCGGGCTGGGAAAGGGATGGGAAGCAGGAGCCTGGTGCAGCACCGCGCGGAAGAGCCTCACGTGGCCTGTTGCTCCCACTCAGACCAGTGGTTAAGCTAAAGGCACAGCAACGGGTGCCAAGAATGACCAAGGAGTAGGACAGGCTCTCTTTGAGTGTCTCTATGTGTACATTCACTTACAGTGTCATAGGTATTCTCTGTTTGATAGATATTGTGTGTGTGCTCCTGCTTCAGTGATTTCTTTTTTGTGGACCTCATGGAAGACAGCGTGTGGCCTTTTGGGGTACAGTAAGCTGCTTGCTTAAAAATAAAACCCTTCAGATAGGGAAAATTATGTTTGCTCAGCAGTGTGGAACAAAGCAGTTCCACGATAGCTTAAGGAAACTTAACGATAAATTAACGAACTTATTTCTTAGCAAAAGTACTGAGGGGGGAGGGAAGGAAGGAATAGGAACATGTTTTGTCATTCTCTTTGTGTGGACTGGTAATTTCCTCATCACTACCTAGCAACGGATTGGGCAAATGCTTAGTGGTAATCAGGAACATCTCCTCACTTGCTGCGTTTAGCCCTAAATGAAGTTACACGGGTGAGACTGTGCTGTGCTGCACTGGCTCTTCCTGAGGGACCTCCTGCAGTGCTGTGAAAAACAAAGGGCTTTGCCGATGTGTCGGCTTCTTTCTTTCGGTCTTTGTCTCCAAGAGGTGCTTGTTGGGAAACCACAAATGGGAGCACTGATGCAAGCTCGGAAGAGTGAGTCTTGGTTCCAGCTTCCATGGAATTACTAGTTGGGGTGAGAACCCAGAGCAAAACTTGATAATACCTTTGACTAGGAGCTCAAGTATGTCCCTACTTCATGATTCAAGGCTCTGCCTTGCAAATACATACCGGGGTGAGTAAACAGGGCTAGTAAGCGTGTAAAATCACATAAGAGTTGGTGAGAATTAAGAACATGTAAATATTGACACACAGTTCAAAAAGGGCAAGCAGGGAAGGGCATGTGCTTGGCAGTAACTGATAATGGAAGTGGGGGATGAGGAAAAATTCTTCCTCAGAATGTGACCAGGGACAAAGACCACTGCGAGAAGGCCGACCTTCACAGCTGAGGCGGAGCTGGGTGGGTTGGGCAGAGGTAGTGCTTAGGATCACAGGAGGACTTGGTTTCCACAGCCACCTCCTGGGCTTGAGGAGTGCCTTGATAAATTCTGCAGGAGTTTCCTCATTCATCACAGACAAATCTCGGTTGCTGCTGAAACTGTTCTTGCTGTATGCTCTCTTTTACTTCTTGCCTAATCGCAGCTGGGTTACTTTATGCTCAACTTTGAGGGGAAAAGTAACTTTTGGCTTGGTGGAATATGCCCTTCTTAACCTCATTCTCCGTCTTTTGTCCTGCTCTGTTGCTCTTCTGAGGTTTCTACTCGGGCAAATACATGTTTGGCTTTTAGTAGACTCTCAGCCAGTTTTCTCCTTGGCTCCTCTCTCACATTAACAGGCAGAACCTTGATCACTAGCTCTGCTCCAAACCTGCCTCCTCTTCAAAAACTGTTTTGACCTGGCTAGCAAGGAGCTGTTAGACAAAGAGCACTGGTGTTTCTCTCTTGTTCCCTATGCCACCGAATTTCCTTGTTTGCTCATGCTGTTGTGAGACGGATTTTTAACTCCTCCTGCCCAGCTTCTCAGATTCTGCGGAAGAGGTGCTGTCGTGCAGTTTTCCTCACTCACCCTCCACGGCTGTTGGTTTTAGCCAGGCTCTCACCTTACCACACTCTGTCAGCATTTTCTAAGCTTTACCAGGCACAGCCTTGTACAGCCAATGCCCATCTTAGACCTTTCCACAGAGATGCTTTTCGACCCAAGCAGTCCCACCAGCAGTTGTACCACCTCTCTGAAGGGCTTTTGGTACGGTCCCATGCTGGGTGCTCGTACAGAAGCCAGGCAGGCAGGGGATGGTGGGCAGACTCTCTCCTTCGGTGCCACGGAGAGCAGGGAAGGGAGTGGAGGACCAGCCTTGATGGTGAAGGATGGTCCCCACAGGTCCCAGCACAAGTCCCCCTGGTCTGATGGCTGAGTTTGTTATCTGCCGCCCAGATTTGAGTTCACAGCTGACTGAAGAATTGCAGCGGCTTTTAAGCCTTGCAAGGGCTGAAACGGCAATAATATTGAATGTAGATAAATGAATTGAGGCGTGTGAAGGGGCAGAAGGGAAGATTGGGCTTCACTGAACTTTCCTGGAAAGGATGGGCTGATTCAACTCTTGTCTTAGGCAGGAGGGCTTTGGAAAACCCAAGTAATGGGTGGGACTCTTGGGAGCTTGGCAGTGATCACCAAAGCAAACTGAGCCCTGGGGGCATTTAAGAAAAGGTTTATGAACACAAAATATAATCTGTGGTTCGTTGCTTTTGAATGCCTTGTGTGTGTGTATATATTTATATGTATTTATGATGCCAATTTACAGGCTAGAACAGATGCGAAGGGGCTCAGAGAAGGGGCGAGTGAGTGGGTTGAAGAGCTGGCTCCTGCCCAAGAGTCACAGTGGGCTGGGGCTTTTCTCCCTGGAACCCTGCTTATTTATACATTTTCCCTCGTTTGGGGGGAATCCCCAAATTCAGGAGGGTGACCGCTGATCCTGCTGCCTGCAGTCACCCCGGCGGGGCAGAAGGCAGTTTTCCAGAACGCTCACAGCAGAGCTTTGGATCCGCTGGCACCAGGAGCAGGCACTGCAGCCCTGTGCCATCTCAGGGAGGGCGAGCAGACTTGGGGGGTGTCATGGAGGTCTGCTCCTTGCCTGGGCCCTGTCTGGTTTGGGCACCAAATGGCTGCCCTGCCACAGACAATGGTATGTAGGTATACACACACGCTCGCTCTGTCCTTGTTCTTCCCTGGAAACATGCTTTTGGCTGCTATTTTGGGATGATTTTCTGGGTTAGATGAACATTAGTGACCTGTTCTACCCCAATTCTCTAGTTTATCGCATCGAAGCAAGTTGTAGGGCTTGCTGCCTGCCTTTTGCTGGCTCTCTGAAGGGAGAATGTCCTCGCTGCAGACTTGGCAGAGGCGTTGCATTGCAGTACGGTGGTTAAAGAGCCTCAAGTTAAACGTATGTTGTGCTCATCTGTTTTAAAAGGAGCAGTTAAGAGGTCTGGCTGGCCTGGTCATGAGAAAAAAGATAAAAAACAATTCCTCTAATCCCTGGCACTGGTTAAACAGTTAAAGCTCTTGTCCAAGACATTAAGAAATACTCATCTGGGACATTAACAGCTCTGCCTTAGCAGTTAACTGGGACTGTGCCTGGCTTGCAGAGCAAGAGGAGCACTGGAGTGTGTTCAGGTGAGTGACAGCTGCGGGCTGGCGAGGTGTGGGAAGACCCAGCCTGATGGACTCTGCGGTGTCCTGGTGGGAGGGGTGCCAGCCCTGTTCCCTTGGTCTGCACCTCTGGAATTGTTTCAAGTTGGTCGTGCTCCCCGGAGCACCACGTGTGACCAGAG